CAAGCGTTGGGGTTAGTAGACTGTTTTAGCAGTAGATTTCCACAATCGACTTGCTTTTGGAAGTGCTCAAAGTTCCATGGTCGCTACTGACACCCAATGACTCGGAGAGGCGGGAAGGTACATCTGCTTGATAGAAGAGGTTGAAACTGCTTTCTCTGGATACTAGATAATACTGATGGTGAAGGTGCGGAGCGAGAGGCAGACTTACTGCAAAGGCTAAGAGTTGAGTTTTTGAGACAGGTTGGTAAACTCATCTGAGCATTACCATATCGAGCATTATCTAGCATAAAGATTCTTCCTCCCGAAGGTTATAGATTATGCGTCGGTTCCTCTTGGCGTGATAGCTGATGGTTGCAAGGAATACGAAGAATTGATAAGCTCCAAGGTGAGATACTCGTGAGTGACTCTTTACATGAGCCTCACTTGGAGGGCTTGTCATCTGTGCAGGTCATGAGTACTGAGGATTCCGCAAGCGCTGAGGATGAAGGGCAGCCCACAAATGCCGAAGGGTGCAGTAAAAGGAGCGAGGCGGTAGTTGCGTTATTCACCATTGTATCTCATTATACTCACCGTGCCTGGCTGGTAGCAATGGCGAAAGGCTTCATCGCTCAGGAAGCTGCGGCCGCCGCGCTGTCTATCGGTGCTCACGCCAGCCTCTTAGAGTTGACCTTCCGGCTGCAGCTCCAAGATAAGTTCGATGAATTGTTGGAAGTATTCAACCAGAGGCTCAAAGTACGAAACGGTTACTTCAATGACGCGATGATGTGCCACGGCGCTACCTCAGTATCGTCACCTCATCAATCCACCGCTAGTCGCTGTCGACTCTCTAGTGACTCGAGGAGAAGAGAAGCCGGTCCCTCCTGCAGGATGGACTATCCTTACTGGAGACCTCAACAGGTCTGCTCTTCACAGTGGGCCTCTCTATACCGACTATGGCGCATCGTGTGTGGTGGCCTCTCGCTCATTGTCCCAGACTTGGCTGCTCAGTGCATCATTTAGGTTCTCCAGCAAGTGGAAACTTGGCTCTCTTGGAGTCAAGAAAACTGCTCCCGGAGAAGTAGTGAAGTGGGAGAGTGGGCAGCGAATCCGGTAAATTCATCGTGGAAGTCCTCAGGACTTAGCGGAACCCGAACCCCTGCCCACTGATAAAGAGTCTTCGTCCTCGAACGAGACGCCGGTTCATGTGTACTTAATCGGCCAGTACCTCAACCTTTGGGAGCTCGATAATACGGAGCCCGGCGAAGGTGAGTTACCATGTTGCAGTGTCTCTATTATGACCAATCGAACAGCACGGAAGCCTTTCCGCCCGGTCGTGGGTCGGATATGCATGGCCTGCCTGTTATGAATATCATACCTTGCAGGCTCAATACGTCGGATATGCAACGTGGGACTTGTATTCAGTCGAGAGGCACCAGTGGATAGCAATGGCGTTGTCACGGAGCAGAAGGAAATACACCAACTCACAGGCGGTAAGGCCGTTTCCCACAATGGATATTTATGCTCCTATGCAGCCGTCTACACAATTATATACAACGTCACGGTTAAACAGTCTATCATAGACTATGAGAATTTGATGTCTATGGGGATGTTATGCTGCATTTGATATTATGAAATCTGTAATCGGATGTGAGCCATGTAGGCGGGAGCAAGAAACAACTGGAGAGAACTATCCTAGGCAACAAGACTGGTCCGGAGCGGTAGACATGTTTCCTGCGCGTGCTGTTCTATGGTTTTCGAGATACCTCGTCGGATAGGGCTGCTTCGGCGGCTCTGCGCTTTCATTGCTTGCCTCTGCCGATTGACCTCGCCTCGGCTGAGGAAGTAAGTTCCACTCATTCGCTGGTTCCTGGCCAATCATTCTTCTCGATGGTCTTGGCATAAGATTCAATCTTTAAGATCGTATCCGCCGTTGATATATCGACATTGATACCTCTTTGCCACTCTCAGAATGAGCTAGCACCTTTCCTTATCTATTCCACGTATGATGAGCCGTCTTGTGCGCTGGATAGAGGACCTAGCCTTCATGCTCTCGACGATCTCGAGCTTACCACGAGCCCAATATGGATACTCACTGACATCTCAACTCGTTCGTTGCCTTCCGCCGAAGCTTTAGAAGACTCTTCCGGCCAGTCATGGTGAGAGGGATGCATAGTGCGATAAATTTCTTTGAAAGCGTCACATGTTGTTCAGGTCTCAGATGAACAGCATAATTAGAGTTGATTTGAGGATGAGCGCCGCCGAGCACGTCAACTTACCATTCCACCACCCAATCTACCTCGGTGCACAAATTGATCTCGATTGCGCGGTAGTTCAGTACCGGCGTGTTCGTCTTCTGAGCCTCATGGAGACTGTGGACGCACACCCTGAGCAGCTCCCGACGGCTACAATCCAGTTGGCACGGCTCTTGGAGGGTGACTGCGGTGATGCTCTGATAGATTCTCATGAGCAGCTCGTGCTGGATGCTGCTATGTTACTCTGGCATCGGCATAGCGCTCCGCACCTCCAGGATCTGAAGATGCAGGAAGCTCGAGCCGACGAGGAAACCAGTATCGGAATTCCTTTGTTGACAAGACTAGTTCAAGTTCTCTGTGCCTTACCGAGAAGATTGGATGATATTGCGTCAACGGTGACGGAGATATGTCTCAGAATCGACCAGCTTGCTCCCGAGCAGCAAGTATCCACGTCCAGAAAGTGCTACAGTGCTTTGCGCGGAGCTTATGATATTCTCGCTTGGAACAGTGGACGAAGGAGCATTGATGCCCAGCTGCATCGGGAAGTTTGAGAATGCGCATGAGGACGAGTGCGTGTGAACTTCGTCCGAACGGCAATATTGAGTTGCATTGATGAGGGCCTGGCCATTTTGATGGGTGCGGGGTTATGGCCATCCGCTGATAACGCTAGAGTTGCGTGCTAAGACGCGGGTTAAGCATCCTATCCCAGCTTACTCGCTGTGCAGCGCCGTGAGAATAAACATACGCAGCTCGGATCCTTCGAGCTCTTGTTTCTACCTCAGACGCTCTGTTGGGGCATCCAGAACAGAACGGCCTAGTAATGACTAGTATGTAGTAACTACTGGTCACTCCTCTTCTTCGAAGTGATGCCTAGTAATATCTGGTGACTATTGTGGTTGACGGGCAAAACTGATCACCAGGATGGTCATTTGGTAGTTTCGTAAGACATTGAGCAAATGCTCGATATTAAAGTGGATGCGGCGTGCGCGAGACTTCTCATCGCTCTCTGGGTGACCCAGACTGGGCCTCCATAGTGATTATTCGATACGCGCTCGACAACCCAAGTCTCATAGGGGAAGACGATACTCACCGGCATTGAGACCCGAACACTATTAGCGCGCACAATTCCGGCGATAGAGAGCTTCATAGGTCATCCCCGGAACGATTCACTAAGTCCCTAATCTCTACAAGCGTCTAGGTCAGCGACGCACGTCAACTTGCTGGAATGGCCTTAAAATAGACCGTTACGTAGCTGTTGCAGGTTAATACTATTCCGGGCCGGAATTTCCGGCCTCTATTCAATCGATAGAGAAGAAGCCAGACTGAAATAGTGAAACCCCAGGGCAATCAAAGTTTGTTTGATTCGAATGGAACCCAAACCAAGTTAGTGAAATCCCAAAGGAATTCAATGAAGTCCGAACCGAATTCTCGAGGCCTTCAAGTGAATTTAGTCGGCACACAAAATGCGTCCGGAGTCTGCCTTACCCGAGTTTGGCGTTTAAACTGCCGGGTTAGGTATTGTTCTTTTTATTCCTTCTCCTGTTGGATGATATTTCCTCCAATAAGTTGCATACTAGTGTTGTATCAATGGTAAAGGGATCTGTGGTGTCGACTGGCTCAAAGGGTGACCAGAAGCGAGCCGCTTCGGTACTGACAATACCTTATCGTAGAGAGGGTCATTAGATCGCGGAGGTTAAACCTCGAATTTCGAATTCGAATGCATTACATCATAAGCCGCGTTGGAGTTGCTATGGCGTCTTCTGGTGGCACAGTTTCTGGCACAAACTTGCTGGCGACAGATACCGAAGCACCCAAACCTCATCTATGATTTTTTCTGTAAATGTGTGATCTAGTTGTATGATTCTCCGAGAATCGACCTCGCCTGGGGTGCGAGAAGTCTCGAGTTAGATTCTCGGCTCAGCCCACGATAAGTCATTTCCCTGCTGAGCACGGCCTATATGGTAGACAGGCTTCTCAGACCGCGGAGGTTACCGGGACCACTGAATGAAATACAGTAGCTTATCAGCGTGCTGGAATGGTCCAGTAAGTCAAACAAGTCCCGAGTTCGATTCTCGGCTCCAGTATCATCTCTGATAGGCTATCAGTGATAGCTACCTACGATTCGTAGACTACGAAAGCTATCAGAACGAACTTCGATTCAATATTGTGTACAGGGTCATCAGAACACAGATGTTTCCGGCTGCCCTAGCTACCTTGGCCAGTCAGCTACATCAATCTGTTCCATCCTCTATTGGGAATTTCATGCGCCGTTTTGGAGTTGCTACGGCGTCTTCGAATGCGCACGGTTTCTAGCGACTGCTTCTAGGACACCGAAGCCCCTGCTACATTCAGTACGCTGTGGCTGTGTGGTCTAGTGCTATGATTCTCGCTTCGGGTGCGAGAGGTCTCGAGTCCGATTCTCGACTCAGCCCGCGATTAGCTGTCTTGCTGCTGAGCTCTACCTATATAGTAGATGGGCATTTAAGATCACGGAGCTCACCGGGACCACGGAATGAGATGTCTATTCAGCTTGCTGGAATGGTCTAGTTGGTTATGACGACTGCCTAACACGCAGTAGGTCCCGAGTTCGACTCGCGGTTCCAGTATTGCACCATCATTCGAAATATGCGTTAGATCATGCGCCGTTTTGGAGTTGCTACCGCGTCTTCGAATGCGGGCGGTTTCTAGCGACTGCTCCTGGGGCACCGAAGCCCCTGCTTCATACACGCCGGTGTGGCTGTGTGGTCTAGTGGTATGATTCTCGCTTTGGGTGCGAGAGGTCCCGAGTTGGTTATGACGACTGCCTCACACGCAGTAGGTCCCGAGTTCGACTCGCGGTTCCAGTATTGCACCATCATTCGAAATATGCATTAGATCATGCGCCGAGATGGAGTTGCTACGGCGTCTTCGAATGCGGACGGTTTCTAGCGTCAGACACTGACGCGCGCAAGCTTCCTCTATGAATTGTTTTTTTGTTAGCGGAGAGAATTGCAGCGATAGTATAAACACGCAGGACGAGAGTGTGTGCGTGCGCAAGCTTTGTGACATCATGAGACCGCACAGCGAAGAAACGCCGTCGCTGTTCATGCGTTCAGAGACATGGTGTTACTTAGTGAGTGGCTAAAAACGCAGCACAGTGGCGCTCATGCTGTCAGATTTTTTTTTAACTCCTGGTCAAATGTGTGGTGCATTAAGTACTCTGTGCTTGTGGCAAGGGCCAGTCATCGTGATCCCCTTCACGGCTCAGCAATGAGCTGCGAGGCTTGGTCTCATCATACTTGAGGCAAGGGCCATATCTGGTGATATGCTATTCACGGCTCAGCAATGAGCTGCGAGGCTTGGTCACATTATACTTGAGGCAAGGGCCATATCTGGTGATAAGCTATTCACGGCTCAGCAATGAGCTGCGAGGCTTGGTCACGTTACACTCGAGGCAAGGGCCATGTCTGGTGAGAAGCTACTCACGGCTCAGCAATGAGCTGCGAGGCTTGGTCACGTTATACTTGAGGCAAGGGCCATGTCTGGTGAGAAGTTACTCCCAGCCCAGAGATGGTTTTGAACGCTATAAACACCTTGGTAACGTACCACGAAGCGCAGTGGGTCGCCACCGGTGCTGCGAAGACCATTACCAGTGTCACATCTTCGTAGAGAGCCGCTCGTTGCGGCTCAGCAATGGGCAGTGAGCGAATCAATCTTCGTCGACTAGGCTTCGAACATTAGCCAATCATGTTACCCGTCGATTCTGTTTTGACCTTGTGGACCTGCATACTTCAAGTATGATACTTGAGTGTGCAACAGTAAATTCTACTCTCAGCATGTTCCTTCTCTGTCTTATCTTGCGTAAGCGATTACCTTGTTTCTTGAGGCGTTTCCGCTGGAATCTTTCCAACCTTTAGCGCGGTTTGGTTAAGTCGGCCGTTGAGATGAGGGCGCGTATCGCTGAGATTGCAACCGGGGAGTCGTGGAGAGAGACAATCCGTTGAGTTTCAATATTAAGTTAGTCCTCGTACCTCTTGGGTACGAGTTCCACGTAGTGGTACATTACGGAATCGAGCGCATTGCTAGGTGGTCACTCAACGGGTCCGGATAAGCCGTTCTTCGCTTTCGCTTGAACTATGCAGCCTGCCAACGCCTTTGCCTTCGCTCCCGGACTATCCCCGGCGGCGGAGATGCTCAATGTTCTCGGAGTGCCAGCCGACTTAGGCCCGTGCCTAGTCGATTGGCTTGTGAGGGAAAGCTTAGATAGGCTTGAGATCATCGCGAAGATGAGCGAAAGCGATTGGGTTACCTTTATCGAGGACAACCTTGAAACGCCAAAGGGTCGATGGCGTGGAAGAGGGAGTCCCGAGTCTGAACCCGGATCGTGCTCAGGCGGCTAGGCTCTACGGTTCAACAATGAGCGATGAGGCTCGTCGTCTTCAGAAGGAGGGAAATGAGCAAGCTAGGAGCTCAGCTCCAGATCGAGATGCGATGAGCATGGTGCAAGCCGCCAGGGAGAGGCTGGGATTTATCAGCCCAGACCTTCTGCCGGATGTGAGGGTTCTCACTAATATGATAAAATCTCCGGCTGCGTACGTGGAGTTCAGCAACTTTGACGAGTCCCATGCTGGGGCTACGGCAAGACAACGGGTTCGCCCGACGGTGACCGGTGCTGTGGTCGTCACTCTGGAGGAGGAGATCAACGACCCGGAAAAGGGTACCACCCCGCCACGATTCAGCATGGGCAGGTGGATGATGCAGTTTGCGAGATACTCTACCGCTCTCATGGTGATTGATCCTGACTGTGCTGGGAACTGCGCAGTTTTCAGTCGCTACCAACTAGAAGTTGGGTACCTTGCTGACGAAACATCTTGCAAGGACGCCTTGGAGGCCGAAGCCAAGTATCGTAGATCTATCTCGAAGAAAGTTCTGTCCGGTATACCACTCTGGGAATGCTTCACAGAGGATCACTTTCGAAACTCCTTCGACAGAGCGTTGTCGGAGGCTGCTGGTAGGAAGGCATACAGAGAGGTCACCCGAACGTCCAAGGGCAAAGGCTCCGGTAAGGGCTTCGGCAAAGGGTCTGGCAAAGGACCTGGTAAGGGACGGAAAGGCAGCCCCTACAGTCCGTGGTCTGAGGATGAGAGCTGGGGCTGGGGCCTATGGGGCAGCAAAGAGAATAATTCGTCCAAGAGGGGCCACGGAGGCCAATCTCAGTCCTCTGGTCCTCCACCCAAGAAGCCGAAGACTGAGTCTCACTGAAGGAAGTCCCTTCCCGTGAGAGCAACATGATGAGCGATATATACTGTTTCTGAGTTGACACAGAAGATAGACTAGTGTGAGTTACTTTCATTCTTTCACGCAGAACCGCAGGCGTTGTGTTCCGGAGTCTAAACTGAACTCGTAAAACGCTCAAGTATCCATATATGCCAAGAGCTCTCGCGATCCGTACTACCAATTCCGTAGCACGCAAGCTCTTCTGAAGATACACACACTCGAATCCGTACTGCCTAGATAGACGCAGCACGACAGGATTGCATCACCGAACAAGCATGCGCCGCACAAACCCGAAACAACTCTATGAATACAATTTGAAATCGCTGTACGAATTCGAGTCTGAGCACGCGCGCAGCCTCTGATGATTGTCAGTATAATCTCCCTTTTTGTTCTCAATGACCAAACGGGTGCGGAGCGAGCAAGCGCGCCTTCGCAGGAAAGCCAAAGAACGAACGAGACGCGCATTTCTGAGAGCCAGAACCACCACCCATCAGCGTGGAACCTCACTATTTCATGCCCAACATGACCCCGAGCGTGATACTGCAGACACAACACTCAGGGTCGATACAAGAACAGCACAGGATTGCGAACATCCAGCAGATCGACGAGCTATCGACTTATACAAGTTGGCCTTCCAGCTCGCTGAGCGCGTGGGCGAGTAAGGACGGCACTATTACCCGAAGGAATAGTATTTGTGGATGGTGTAACCACAACCGAACCCTTGCCACGGCCGACTGCGTTGATACCGCGAGCCTTACAACCCCAAGTATTAGTTGATCGAACCGACGGACCCTGCCTTGTACTGACGCGCGACGTATCCTCAGTGCACTTGTGAATAAGTCTCGGAGAACGGCGAACACCCTCTGACATGTGAGCGGCCTCACTACGTACTCCACTTCGCGTTAGAACCATGACTACTATCAACTCAAGGTCTGAACTACTGGATATACAAGCTACCTTCTAACCAACGTAACGTGCGTGCACCGTAACTAGACGTCAGTTGCGAACCTCAACAGTGCAGTAAGTGAACCAGGAACTCTGTAGCGGTCCAGAGTTTAGGTAAACCTAGCTACCGCAACAATCCAACGGAAGCAGCAATACACCGCAACACTCAGCTTCAAACCTCACGCAACGCGCAAAGCAAGCTAGCTGCACGCAGACACAATGTCCCGCGCACTTACACACTTAAGAACCTTCAACGTTGAAAGAATGCCACTGCGGTATCGCACATTGCCCGCGTGGTAACAGTGGTACCAAACAACAGTTGAGACACTTCATTACGCAACTAAGACCAATTATATATATAAATAACGATATGACAAGTTGTACGCATACACCATCACCGTACGTAACACACGTGCTATGCAACTCGAGTACGACACGATGAACGAATCAGTGACGCGATACAAACC